CAGCACCGCACAGGAACAGGATGGCGCCTGGTGGGATGAATGCACCTAGCTGCCCTTCCTGTGTTACTTCCCTGCAGCTCACCAAGCCTCGCCTTCTCCTCTCTGGTCTGCCTTCAGCATGGCCACAGCCCCGACAGGCACCAGAGGCGGCATGTGTGCGTGTCAGCAGCTCCTCAGACTCCTAAGCCTGGGCGCCTCTGGCTGTGCCCCAACCACACACTGCATGGACCCGACCCGCTGGGCTCTGGGACCCACGCGCAGGGCGTGACACTGTGGAAGAAAGTGGCTTCCAACCACCCACGGACCCTGTGACCCTCCCCCCAGAACCTCCCCTCTCACTGTGAAATGGGCCCGCGAGGCTGCTGGTCTGGCATTTCCCAACAGTGCCCACCCCCAGAGGAGAATCCATGCTTGGTCAGTACAGGTGGTACAAGTGGATCTAAGACTCCTGTGTACAAAGAGGACAGGAGGCGTCCACTCTGCCACGTGTTCAACAAGCACCTCAGCCTCCCTGTGGGAGGAGATACAGGCCGTCGTGACTGCTCAGTAATCACAGGCCTGGTCCCTTCAGCCTGCACAACATGGTGATACCTTACTTCAGGGAAGAAGCTTTTCCCCAAGTCGACTTCTATCCCCCCCACCCCCCGGGCACAGCTGATGACCAGGGAAATAGGCCCCCACCCACCCGAGTCCCCAGGGCCCTGGGGGACACCCTGAGCTCTTTAGGGACAGATGTGGCTCCATCTATGCCACTGCCTCACTTGTATTCCAGTCCCCTCACCAGGAGGGTTAAAGGCAACAGGGGACTTCAGCAAGTGTTCTTGGCCAACCCAAGGCTAATTAACTATCAGGAGGGGTGCGGTGATGTGCCAATATGTGTGATGTTGCTGGCCTGATGGCGTGATGTTGCTCTGCCTGTTTCTCCTAAGGGGGAAAAGGCTGAGGTGCTGGACACCCTGAAATTCATCATGTTCCACACCAACAGTTACAAATATGTAAAATGCCAGAAAATATGCAGTCACTGATTAAATAATTCTAAATTTTGAATCCCTAAATATTAACCTTAGCTCTATGAATCAATATTACAATAAAAAACAAGTGAGGCAACTCTCATGCCTGCCTGACCATGGGGACGTCTCTTAAATCTGCCCCTTTTGACGGCAACTTTCTGCCCACAGGTTTCTTTACTTTCCTTCCCTTTTTTACAATAATTCTGCCCTTTTTGGACATAAACAAATAAGTAAGGTGATAATTCATATTCTCCCCTTAAAAAATTGCATTAAATTGTTTGAAATACCTCCCTTTGCAAAAAAAAAAAGAAAGAAAGAAAAGAAAATATGATAAACTCAGGTACATGAAAGCTTCATAAGATTTAGGTTACACATAGCTATGGTGTGACACCTATATAGAATAGCTTTTTATTTAATATCCATAATGTGCCAAACATCTGAAATGCCTTAAAAGCTGCACCACCAGTATCGATATTATCAACACGAGCAAACTACCCTCCTGGAAGCAAAAGTCTTCTAGTTAAAGCAGACAAGGACTTGAGCCCAAGTGGCCTCTCTCATCACCAAGCCCCAACAGAAGCCAGCACAAAGGCACTGGTCCAGCCTTCCTCTGAGCGCCATCTCACTCCCCATCTGATCATCTTTTCATGCCACCTGGCACCCTCCTCACCTTCCCTCTGCCCCAGCACCTCCTCAGCCCACCTCCAGCCTCAGCTAACAAGAGCTTCCCCCTCCTCCCCACTCCCCTCTGCAGGCCACAGTTCTGACAGACGCCCCTTGTTCACATGCGCACATGTATCCATGTATCCAGCAGGGGCCCAGGCAGGCAGATGGGACAGCCCCTCCCAGCCTCCCACCATGCCCAGTGGGCGATAAACCTCCTCCCTTCCCAGCACTCACTCCTGGAATGATGAGCCCAGCTGGCTCAGCCTTGGGCTTCACAGCCAATCAAGTCTATGGCCTGATGCCGCCTCCCTGTGGCCTGGCCTGTGTGATCCTTAAGCTGCCCTGCCCCACGGGAAGGAGGTGTGAAGCCTGTCTCCTGTGGGGGCGCCATGCTCTCAGGATTCCCCTAACAACCGGAGGAAAGGATTCATCATCCCCACTTTATGGATGAGACAAGTGAGGTCAGGTCAATCACACTGGAGCCAGCTGTGCTCAAGTATGAAATCTGCGATTTCCCCTACACTCAAGGTGGAACAACATACAGGAATTTCTTGTGTGTAAGGCACTCATATTCACACCCACTGTCTCCCCCTCTGAGATACAGGACTCCTTCAGGACTAAATCCTTAGGGAATGGAATCTACCTTTCAAACAGGAAAGGACTTGCAGACTACCTTCATCCTGGTCATTCTGATTCCACTCACACACCATATCCCAATCTGCTGACACACACACACACTGCTCCAGGCCTCCACACACATACACACACACACACACTGCTCCTGACTTCCTCTCACACACACAATGCTGCTCCAGACCTCCTCACAAACACACACACACACACACACTGCTCCAGAACTCCACGCACACACACGTCACACACTGCTCCAGACCTACACACACACACACACTGCTCCTGATCTCCTCTCACACACATACACACTGCTGCTCCAGACCTCCTCACACACACACACACTGCTCCAGAGCTCCAAGCACACACACGTCACACTGCTCCAGACCTCCACATACACACACACACTGCTCCTGACCTCCTCTCACACACACACACTGCTGCTCCAGACCTCCTCAGACACACCCACACACACACACACACTGCTCCAGAGGTCCACGCACACACACATCACACTGCTCCAGACCTCCGTGCATGCACACGTACACGCACACACACACACAAACATACACACATCTCCAGACCTCCTCCTGATTCCCGTCTGGTACTCCACACTTAGTCTCCTGTCCTGGAGCACATGGACCCTCTGACCTAGCCTAGCTGCCTCTGTCCACCTCAAGTCCCAGTCCACCCACCTGGAACTCCTGCTGCTCCACCCTACCCCATGGTGGGGGAACTACGTCCAGGCACACACAGACACCTTACACAAAATTAACATTTCATGCTCTGGACCGGCCAGAAACGCCAGGATCTCGGCAAAAGAGATATGGTAACCTCAACTCCCTGTTCCTGGCCTACTTTGCCATTCAGTCAGCCCAGCAACATTATCTTTGGCACAGTAAATCCCAGACCTTCCCTGCAGACTGAAGACCAGCTCAGAGCGGGCCTCACACACACTTCTGGTGTCTACCAGTGTTTACAGTAGTTAGTTGTATGACATGTCTGACTGACTAGTAAACAGACAGGTGGGATTCTGAATGATTCCTTTCTAGTCTTCAAATAAAAATCTCACTCAAATGACAAATTATGTCATTTCTCCAGGAAGGCTCAGCCTTGTGAGCGCTTCTGGGACTCTGTGGCCAAGACACAGAGATGTGAAACCTTGACAGGCAGTAAGAGCGGCCACAACCCAGAGCTCTTGCTCACAGAGATGGCTTCACTCACAAACGCAACAAATCTCTTGTTTAAGTGACAGCTGGCACGTGTTGATAATTCACAAGAGCCTGGAGAAAAAATATCCACAGCCTGGAAGGGGAATCAATCAAGAGTAGATGAAGGATCCAGATCAACTCCTGGCATGTGGTTCCAATGCTGGGGGCTATAAATAAACACGGCATCACAGTCATGACCAGAGATTGCGAAGACAAGAAACCCCATGCTGAAGTTTACTCCCAGTTGACTTGACACTGAACTTCTGCCATAATGAAGTGTGACAGATAATCTGCAAATGAAGACTCTTCTGCAAGTGGGAAGCGGGCTGTCTCCACACTGGAGTGAACACTACTTTGCCTAAAGATTAGGCTCACTCGGCCCTGCAGGACCTGGGCCTCCAGTCCACTCACTGCTCAGAGCCAGTGGTGAATGCAAACATAACAGCTACCTTACAGATGGCAAATAGGCCAACAAAGCAAACCTGAGCGTGAGTAATGTCAGATCTGTTTAAACTAAACACTGCCAGTTAGTAATAATGAGTTAAAGCTCCCTTCGGTAGTAACTTACTCCCTGGCACACAACCTAGCAGTGTTCTTTACTGTACCAGATAGGGAGTGAAAGTCCGATAAATAACAATGTCTACCGAGACTCACTAAGTGTTTATAATACTGCCCAAAATGGTGCTAAGCACTTTCTATGATTTAACTATCCTATTTGATTTCTCTACCCCTAGAGGTTTTTACATGAGCAAGTTTTTATGTATAAATACAAGCACAGGAAAACTCTTAGGGAGATACACACCAAAATATTAATAGTGGTATCTGTTGGATTATTTTTGCTTATATTGTTTTTTCCAAATATGTCTGCTAACATCACTTACAGTCGTACATTTCTACTTTTTTAATGTCAAAATACATTAAATACAATGAAAATCTTGCTCCCAGGTAACAAGCCCCTACGTGAGTCATTTCTTTTGCATGTAAGAGCTGATAAAGCTTTACTTTACCTGAGCATGTGCTTTTCATTTTAGTTTCAATTAAGTCCCTATGCTTAGCATATTTCTACTTTAATGTCCTAGGTCTTAATTACTATCCTATGCCTTATCAAGATTTTGTATTTATTTGTAGCTTACTCTTTTTTGGCACTTATCACAAACATCCTACCTACAAATCCTTGACACAAGAGGCCAGGCACACAGACACACACATAACAAAAGATCACTTCACGGGTGCTACTGCCCATGCACTTCAAGTACTGATGTACAGTTCTTGCTTAGAACATTAAGATGGCAGAATTAGAACCTTTAAATTCTAGTTATTTTTTTAAATGCAAAACTATAATATCACCCTGCATAGTTAAAAATAATAATGCCCCAAGGGGATTGCAACTGAGATGGAAAAATGCACGAAAATATGTAAAAATAAACTATTATAAAATTTTTTTAAAAATAATAACACCATCATTTTAGAAGTCCTATACTTAAAAAGTCGATTTTATTAAATATTCGATTCTCAGTTATATTTTTCAGTTATAAAAAGCTCCACCCCCATTTCACCCTTCATCACCCACCCTCCAAACCAATTAAGTAAGCCCAACAAAGTCCACCAGCGGAAACCCCAAGAACAAGATGGACGGCTCTCATCAGCACACAGCAGAGCCCTCACGTGGGGGGAAGAATGAAAACAGCTAATGTAGCACAGAGCACAGGAACTGGAACAGGCAGTCTGACAAGATTTTTATAACTTACACCAATTACAAATACTTCATGTGCCCACCAATTCCAAGAGAACAGACAAGCCAGTGATACAGAAGACCTCTGCTAGGGCCACCTCTCCCCACGCCAGGCCCCCTATCAGGAATCATTAGGAAGCCCAAACAGCTTCACAGTCCCTGCTTCCCGGCTGCTGTCATATTTGCCATCTTTGTCATCACAGGCAAATGCCAGCAGAGGCCTCTTGGGATGCCAAGCCACAGTGAAGGTCGGGGATTCACACTGCACCTCCCATAGCTTGTCTCCTACAAAAACCAATACAGAGAAACCAATCAGTATGTTAGTAGAACACATTCACTACCTTCACTAAGTCAGCTAACACCCTCAAGAGGCCGTGGGGTAGGTACAGTAGCTTACAGAGAACACTGAGGCACAGAAAAGTCAGATGCCAGTATATGGCAGAGTCAGAACTCAGGTTAGGAGCCTTTGCCCTGAACCCCTTTTCAACAATCCCTGGAAAAAGTGACAGCAATATTGTAAATAACCCAGCAAGGCAAGTACTGATTTTAAACTTCACTTTATGAAGAGAAGTTGCTGTTAACAGGCAAGTGACACTTCAAGGAAGCAGCATTCAACACATGGAGTCCAAAACCACAGATCTTATGAGTGTCTAGCAAATTCGTTCCTTTTTTCAAAAAATTCCTACTGTTGAAATTCAACATCATTTTTTTCAAAGCTGTTATTCCTTTTGTCCTGCTTAACTACTTTTTTCAACCTTAGATTTAATATTCATGCATTATTTAGTTGGCAACCAATTTAAAAATGCAGGATACACTGAACTTTATGCTCCAAACTGGTCAACATATGTGAATTACATTTCAATAAAGCTGCTTTAATAGATATGTATTTATATACATGTCAAAGGGTAAAGAGTGTTTTGTATAAACAAAGTCTATTTCAGGAACAATTAACTACTCTTCAAGGTACTAGCATCTAGCAGTCTACAGCTCTATGTCTGAGCTCATTTCTGAGTTCACAGACATAAAGAATGTCTTTCTCAGTTTTCTTTAGGCCTTTAACTCCTGGTCATCTCTTATGGAATTAGATCAACAAGCACATTTATACAAGAAAATCAGAGATGACATTAAAAGGCCCTCTATAATGGCCCATGTAGCATCATGAATTTTAACACTTGATAGTTTAATAGGAAGGTGAATCTTCTGTAATTAATGAAGTTCCACCTGGAGACTAACAGTACTAATCCAGACCATCCAAATTCTAATAGACCAATGCCTAAAAAGGTGAAAACATGTGGGCTGTGTTAAGATGAGATTCTGCTCTATGAGCTATCAAGAACTAAAATTAAGTATCACATTGTTTTACATTTAGTCATTAAAAGTTGTATCTAAAGTACACCTACACCCTATGTTTATTGCTGCTCTATTTACTATAGGGAAGATGTGGAATCAACCAAAATGCCAAAAAATAGATGACTGGATCAAAAAGATGTGGTACATATACACAATGGAGTATTACTCAGCAATCAAAAAAGATAAACCCATGCCATTTGTGACAACATGAATGGAACTGGAAAAGACCATGCTTAGTGAAATAAGCCAGAAAGAAAATGAAAAGTACCAAATGGTTTCACTCATAGCAGGAATGTAAGGGATCAGGGGAAATTTAAAAAAATAAATAAATACTAACTAACAACTATAAACCAGAGACATTCTATGGGGGGAGGAGAGGAGGACAAGATCAAAAGGAGTGTAGGAAGACCACATGGGACTATGGTGATGGCACATGGGTGAAGTGGTGGTGGGAAGTCCACGGAGAATACAACTGAGATGAAAAAATGTACAAAGTGAAGAAAATGTAAATATATATATATATATATATATATATATATAATAAAGTAATTAAAATTATATCTAATACATGATACCAACAACATAAAAAAAATAGAGAAAGAAAGAAAAAGACTGGAATGAAACATGTTACAGCATATGGAACGGTGTGTAAGTATTCATCAAATTTCTCAGCATTTTCTAAATAGTCTACAATGAGCATGTATTACTTATATTTTACAAACTATATGATGGAACTTTTTAGGCATTGGTCTATTAGTATAAAAGCATGTTTACTGCATAAAATTCAAATAATATAAGAATAGAGGGCAGCACTGTAAAATCAAGATTTCTATGAGGGAAATGTTCTCCATCTGTGCTGTCCAATAAGAAGCCACTGGCAACATGGGTTACCAAATCCTTGAATATACCTAGTTTTTAAATTTTGTTCAGTTGATTTCAGTAATAAATAACTACCCTTTCCTTCTACCTCAATCTTCTCCCAATCTTGTAAGTCCGACAGCCTTCCACATGTTTTCTGCCCTCTTGAGCCACATCACACGTGCTGACTAGCTAGCTGATCTGCATTCACTGACATGCCTTGCAAAGCTCCACTTCAGAGCACATACAGCTATGTCTTTCTTTTGGCACATAACAAGAGGGCACACAACTTACTTGATCTGACCTAATGAAAATTTAGATGCTTCCCATTTAGGCATGAAACAACACTGTTTGCTTTTAATCTTTAACCTAGTTATAGAGAAGAAAAATAAAGCCAACATTTGTCTGAACTACTTAGAAAAAAGTAATACAGCCACATTTGATATGTGTAAAGCAAACTATTTGCATTAATTAAAATAGATAAAATTAAGAGAAGCCTGCACAAAGATGATACAGGAAAAAACACACCCATGCATGCATTCACTGCTGATAAAGAGCAAACACGACAACAACCTCTCTGTAATGTGGTTCGATCCTTCACAAAATATGAACACTTTGGACTGAGCATTCCCACTTCAATGATTTACTCAAAAGGTGAACCACATAAGTAAAATGAGGTAAGGGGTACTAGTCACAGCATTTTTATAATGGTGCCAGGGCCCCCTCATAGTTGGGCAGTTTAAGTACACATTGGCATAGTTGAGTACACACTGGTTTATTCAAGGTGGAATTCTAAGCCCCATTAAAAGCAGCAGTACTGCTCAGTAGTCATCACTTTGAAAAAGCCATATGATCCTCCAGTAGGGGCAGGTGGACCTGGGCAGCAGGAGAGCAGCTGTGCACCACATGAACTTAGGATCACACAAGGGAGTCACCTCTCAGGCTGACTGCACAACGCTCACTACAGTGAGCAGTACCAACAGGAGCATTCTTTAAGTTGCAGAATTTCAAGTTATTTACTTTCTCTAGTTGAGTTGTCTATGGTTTCTTTTCCTAAAGTGACATGTATTTCCAAAAACAATTAAGTACATTAAAAAAAAAATCTGGGCCCTCCCTGGTGGCGCAGCGGGTTAAAGCACAGCACTAAGAAGCTAAGCCAATTCCGCATGAGTTCGATTCCTGCCTGCCCCGGAGGAGATCCACATGGCGAGGCAGACCTCTCCTGACCCGCCCGCTGCTCCCCTCAGCAGTGTACTTCGACAATCTGCCTGTTCTGCTCCCCACTCTGTCCCTGGTGAATCCTCTCACCCTCCGCATCTCTGGCCTGTACCCCAGTTCTGTATGAATAAATAAATAAATCTTTAAAAAAAAAATTATCTATAAAAAAATAAAAATAAAAATAAAAAAATCTGAGAAAATTCTTCCGTAAAATGCTCTCCTCCCATTTTACTATTTTCACATTCTGTTTTGTTGTTCAAAAAGCATATCATTTACTTAATTCCTTAAATTAATTTTCAAATATAAGCTCACACATAGGCAAGAAGCAGAAATATACAACACTTTAAAAAAAAAAAAAAAAGGTGATATTACATGGTAGGACCACAGAAGATACTTTTTTCCTTCTTCCTACTTTCTGTATCTTAAAAATTTCACTATGATGGAAGAATCAGTACTTTAGAAAATGCCAAATATTTTCTTACGCCACTTTGCTACAGAGCTGCTCCTTTCGTTCCTAACTCTGGTTCCTCATTACCCGACTAAGTCATAACAAACTTGTCTGAAGGAGACAAATACATTTGCCCTACTACTGGGGGAGGGCCAGGGAGCAGAGAAAACACACTTGACAAGGGAGTCCTGATGGCTAGAGATATTCTCATTAAGACAGCCAGAGCTTTTGTTACCTGTCTCTACTTCAGCAATGTCAATGAAATGATCTTCCGATGCTGAGGCCAGCATTTTCCCATCATGGCTAAAACTGAGGGTCCTCACAGGCCAATCCAATCTATAATACCAAGAAGAAAAAGGAGACTTTATAATAATCTAAAAACACGACACAGCTTCTCCAAAATGAAGTAATTTATCCAGTCACTCACCTAGAAAAGCACCGCACACACACTAACTCATCTACATCCCAGAGACTGACCAAAGCATCTGCACTTCCTGTGGCAAAGTACTTCCCCATTGGGTCAAACTTGATACAGATGCAGTTGGAGGGATGGGCGTTGATGGACTGCACAGGTTTCAGCTCTGGGTAGCTGAGAAACAAGACAGGTAGCAATCAAATTATGGGAAAATGATTTGGTGCTAAGCCAGTAACAGGAAAAACTGGAAAAGAAAACAATGTAACTACCCTGAAATAAAAAGACTTCAAACAACACATTCAAATGGGATACCATACACATGATAATATGAACCCAGATTAACCAACATGAAGATAAACCATCATTTGAACTTTAAAGAAAAAGGTTTTTGGCAGTAGTATGACCTGTCAAAGGAAAATGGAATAACACATTTAAGATACACAAGCAAAGAAATTATCAATCAAGAATTTTTATATCTAGCACAATTGTTGATTTTTAAAAAGCCCAAATGATAAGCACAATATAATAAAGTTTCTGTTAAGTTTTATGCATGCAAGTTGGGATAAGTAGGCATTACACATTTGTTTTATATGGTTTCTATGTTTCATTTTCTAGTAAAAAGATTTTTTAAGAAAACTTAAATAATACTACTTACAGACTCATATTGCTAAGCACAGAATTCCAGGCCTTTTATAATCTGGTCCCAAGTTATATTTCAATTATATCATCCCATTTTCAGGCCTTCTCATTGGGTACCTTATCAGCCACTTCTCCCAGCAACCCTGACCTACAAACACGCTAAATCACACCTGTTTGGTCAATCGTGCCATCCCCTGTTGCTCGTTCTTAATTTCCTACACATATTTCAAGATTCTACCTCCTTTCAATCTCCAGCTCCCAGTCAATATAAATTTCTTCGTTAGCAATGCCGCAACAAACTCCCAGTGTCTCTATTAAAGAACCTATTTTACTCTGCCTTGCATTGCCCAAAACAGATTCAGACAGGCCTGAATTTCAATTCCACAATTTCATTCTTTTAGAAAACAATTATCCAGTGAGATCCTTACAAAACAATTATGTAGTGAGATCCTTACAATGTGCAGCAGGAACAAGACGAAGCACCAGGGAGTCCACAGTAAACTGTACCTACCCGCCTGGATTTTACCTTCTAGGGGACAATTAGACAAGCAATATGCAATTACAGGAGAGAACAGGAAATGCTTACAATGGGAAGTACATAAAATAAGCCGCTAACTTTGAGAGGAGAGTGACGGGAAGCATCAGCCCCCTGAGGTTTACCGAAGTAAAAGACAAAGCGCCTGGCTCAAAGGTACAGAATAGATGGTAGGATTCTTTATTACCAGCTGTCGCTTAAGCTCCTCAGAACAGACACACATCTATATCCACCACAGCACCAGTGCAACGGTGAGACAGTCCCTAAAAGAGGACCCCTCACCTGAGAATGTTGATGCAGCCATTGCCATTTGTGAGGAAGAACATGTTATTGTCGTTGTTCCAGGAAATTTCATTAACCTCAAACTTGAACTGCTCTTCTGCTTTGGAACGATGTGTCTTGGCATCAATAAAGGTCACCACGTCATCCTTGTTGCCTACAGCAATGGTCTGCCCATCGGGACTCCAGCAGATATTAATGTTCTCCCCTGGGAACCCAGATATGATCAGCAAGATAATCATTTGCCCATAATTCACCAGAAGTTTATCTTGTTATCCTAGAAAGATCAGAACTACTTTCAGAACTCACTCATTTAAAGTCCCAGTCAGTAGTATGGAACTATCACTATGGATCAGCAACTATCAATCCAGCTAATTCATCTACAAATTTTTCCATTTGTTGCTCAGATTGTTTCTCTACCAGACATTGTATTATCCCCATTTTACAGATGAGGAAATGGAAGATAGGGAGATAAAGCAAAATGCCAAGGTAAAGTGCCAAAGTTAAGAAGACAGACAAGATTTAAACCCCAACTTGGTTCCACAGCCTCTAATCGGCTGTTATACCAGAATTTCCAAAACCCCAGAGATGTGCTTCCCATTTTCAAAATTTTTGTTGCATGTGACAATTATATTTGTCTTTATTCTAGATTTTTCTCAAGTGTCTCAAATTTTTTTTAATTTAGCAATAACATCTGAGTTATTTTTTTTTCCTAGTAGACATCAAAATATATCCACAACCAGATTTTAATGCTCATCCATGTACCACCCAAACCCCCCATGTGTATACTTAGGGAAAGCACACATCAATCACTCCATCTCCAGATACAAGTGTGTCACATAAACAAAATCTTCTAACCCACACTGAACACATCAATTTAAAATGTTATCACCTTTATCAAGACTAACAGTTTCCATTTTATTATCTCAAATGTATCTTAAGATACATCAGGATGCATCTCAAGATTTTGGGTGTATCATGGTTATCTGAAAGCTTTATTTTCTTTCCTAATGGCAAACAAACTTATTAGCGTTTCTAATAACTGAAGACAGCTTAGTCAATACAATATACTAAGTGACCTCAAGATTTAGGAGAAAAGACCTGGTGAAGAACAGAGTCTATAAATATACTACACAATTTCCAGGTCATTTTCTCCCAAATCACCAAAGCCATTCCATTTCAGTCCATAACAGCTTCCCAATTTCACCATATTGTTAGGCAGCTCCCTTTCTAGGGAAAGAGCTGTCCCTTTCCACCAACCTGCTGCACCCTGACCACTAAATCCTTGTGGTTACTGTTGTTCAAATTCTATTGAGGCCTTAATTGTCTCCCCCAGAAGGACTTCAACATTCCTTAAGCATGGTAGCATACCATTCTAGATATCCACCTTGTAGTCCTCGCTATTTTAAAATAAGCGATGTCTTACCATGCTCAGGCTTTTTTATGCATAAGTCTCTCTCCCTGAACTAAACTATGAAGTCCTTGGAACTGTCTTATTTAGCTCAGGATGTTCCATATCTAGTGCAGGGCTACACACAGAGAAGTTATTCAGGAAACTGGCCCTCACTGGTTGCGCAGTGAGTTAAAGCACAGCACTATGAAGCTAATCTATCCCAGCCAAGGAGCCAACCCATATAGGGCACAGCAGACCTCTCCTGTCTTGCCTGTTGCTCCTCTCAGCAATAAATTTCAGTTAATCTGCCTTGTCTGCTCCCCACTGTCTCTGGTGAATCCTCTCACTTCTCCCCCCCAACCCCCACCAAACACACACCTTTGGCCTATACCCAGTTCTTGTATGCATAAATAAATAAATAAAGGTATTCAGAAAATGTTTGTTGAATGGCTGTAATTCTTCCTAATGCCCTCTTTGAATAGTCACCTTTAGTGTTCACAGTGGCAATGCATTTTGTAGTCCTCACATCCCAGATGCGAATGGTTTTGTCTCCAGATGCAGTAACAAAGAGATCAGGATTACTTGGATGCCAACAAAGCTGGTCCACACTATCTCCATGTCCTCGATAATTGTTTTCTTTGACCTGAAAGAACAAAATCCACATGCACTTCACACATATATACAGGCCTCAACAGGAAACTCCTTAACTTTACTCAAACTAAATTACCCTGTGAGCAACGAAGATCCAAATAACTTTTTAAAAACCCAGTCCTTCCAAGCTTCTACCCCAAAATTCACCCATATGCCTCCTCCTTTCCTCCCTGATGACTAAATTCTTCTGAGTCTGGAATCCACAATGCCCTTACTCTTTTGTCCTCCCTGGTCTTTCCCTCATTTCTAGCTTTGCACCCTTACTTGCCAGCCCACCTGCTCACTCCCACAGGAAGTCCTACCTTTCCACAGGGGCCATCCTCACCATCCCAGAGAGCAGCCCAGCACCACCTCCCCACCACCACCGCAGTCCCCAGTAACTCCCCACCACCCACTCCCTACCAGGAGTGGTAACTTCCTACCACTCCCACACACACCCACCTCACCCCCAAACCACCAGATTTCACCAGCTCCTCACTTCCACTCCCCATCTCACACCTCCTTACTGCTCCCCTCCTACACCCTACCTGCCTCGGCTCCACCAGTGCTTCCTCTCCACACACACCCACGTCCCTTACCATCACAGCCGCAGTCCCTGGTTATCTCCACATTCCTCTTTCTCCACCACACCCCCTTCTCACTGTTCCTGACCTCCACCGCTCACTTCACCACAGCACCTCTGGAGTAGGCCCTGGCAGCTCACCAACCGGTCCTTCTCCAGCAAGAAGACGCTGGCGGTCTTGTCGAAGGACCCCGAGGCCAGGCGCCGCCCGTCGCAGCTCCAGGCCACTGAATGCACCTTGGCGCTGTGCGCCGGGAACTCGCGCGTCTTGCTGTGGCCCCGGAACAACTCCTGCATTCCGAGCACGTAGCGCGTCGGCCCACTGGTCACTGAGCACCAGGGGGCCAACGAGCCGGGGCCGCTCTGGCCCAGTGCAGAGGGCCCCATGGCCGCCGCGGGGACAGCCATGCTGAGCTCCCGGACGCCGGCACGCCACCGACCCCCTGAGGCAGTCAGTCCTGCCGCCGCCGCCGGACGCATGCGCTCCGCAGAGCAGCCGCTCCTCTGCGCAGCCGCACAGTGGACGGACTACAAATCCCGGCATGCAGCGTGCGCGCGCCTTTGCCCGTTCAAATAGTAATAATTCCGCTTTACGTTTCCTTCGGGGTAAATGAATCTGAGCATACGGGCTTTATTTCCCCTTACCCTACTTCTTGGCGGATATATGTATGTATTCCTATTTAGGTGAAAAAACCAACGCTAGTCTTCTAAACTTCGGTTCCCCATCCGTAAAATGTAAAATGCGTGGCTGGAGAAACTCGCCAAGTTTATCTGGTAAGAGACTAGAGGTTTAGGGAGGAAGTAGAGGCTGTTGACTAGGGGTCTGCAGATTTTTCTCAATAAGCAAGTCTTTGTTTTTAAAAGACCTTAAGTGCACGCGATTATAAAAGATGCAGTAACTATCCCCGGGTCACCTCTTGGATTATGTCCCACCCTTCACACGCCTGCTTTAAACCTTAGGTGCTATAGCTGAAAAAACTACTGGTGAGCTTCCCCCAGCCATGGCTCTGGAGAAGGGCTGTGAGCTGGGGAAGGATTCTGGTGCCGATAAAGTGGTTGGGAGTTTCTTTAAAACAAGTTTTCTTAGGTCATACTTAGTGAAATAAGCCAGAAAGAAAAGGAAAATTACCGGATGGTTTCACTGATAGCAGGACTATAACGGACCACGCGAGAAAATAATAATAATAATAAACAGCTATATACCAGAGACATTTTACCGGCATGGAGTGGGGAATGGGATCAAAAATGGAGGGAGGGGAGTGCACGGGACTATTGAAGGCACGCGGGTGATTTGGTGATGGAAAGCCCATGGGGATTACAACATGGGGATTACACAAAATGATGTAAAAATAAGCTATTATATTATTTTTTAAGTCTTTTTTTTTTTAAGGTAACACAGACACTTGGTAATGACAAAATACAAAAGGGAAAAGAGTGAAAAGAGCTTTCCTCTTGCCTATAACCCTAAATGCTCCTTTCCCAAAAAATGCTGTTAAATTTCTGTGACCTTCAAGAAATAGGATAAATATGCACATTGGTAGAAGAAGATAAGTGTATGTATACTCAAACCTCCCCCGTAAATGGTAGCATCCCTTTTACAACTTGCCTTCTGTGGTAAATATATATCAATCATTAATCAATAGATGTGGATATTTCATGCTTCTTCAGGGATGCAGTCTTTGATGATATGACGGTGTAACACATTATTCAGTTGGTCCCCTTGATGAACATTTGGTGTCTGCGAGTTTAAGAACAGTACAGCCAACAGCCTCACACAAACCTCATTGTAAAATACAGTTTTTATTTGAATATTACAAAACACAAAGTTTCTAACAATTTAACATTTCTATCAGGAGAGTGACAGAAAGTCCTTAATACTAATGAGTACACTTTATAGCACATTACCTCAGAGATGGGCTATATGAAGCCCTTTTCTATTACCAATTCCCTTCTCTATCCCACTGCAATTAGAAATTCTTAGAGACTTCAAAAAGCCTTTTAAACTCCAAAAGAATACCAATGGAGTCACTGAAACTTTGGGGTAAGAGATTCTTAGTTTTCCCTCCTTAACTTTCATTTTATGACATTCCCTTCATATTCTAGCTTTTTTTTTCCTGCCTGCATTGAGATTTATATCCCCTAAGGAAACTAAAGAAGAAAATTAAAATGTCCTGCTGCAGGTCACATGGTTTGTATATGACAGAATAAAGGTTAGAATTTGTATTATTGACTCCAAAATCTACACTCTTAGATTCTTAGTATTTGAAACCTCCATGTTATAAACATAATCCTTTGTGTTTTCGTATTCATTTTGTATGTTATTTATGTTTTTTTTTTTAATTTATTTATTCAGACAGAACTAGGTACAGGCCAGAGATGCAGAGAGTGAGAGGATTCACTAGAGACAGAGCTGGGAGAAGAACAGGTAGATCTACAAAGTACACTGCTGAGGGGAGCAGCGGGCGGGTCAGGAGAGGTCTGCCGCACCATGTGGTCACCTCCGGGGCAGGCGGGGATCGAACTCATGTGGAAGTGGCTTTAGCTTCTTAGTGCTGTGCTTTAACCCGCTGCGCCACCAGGGAGGGCCTGTTATGTACGTTTTTTATTTCATTTTCCCATGTGCTCTTTCTTAGAGGACCTGAGATTTGAGGAATCAGAAAGGCTGAGACAGGACACAGTGATTTTAAACAATGTAAGAATAGAAGGGACAAAACAGCTCCCAAGAAAACAGAAGTGTTTTGCTGAAATGTTGTTGTGCTAGCCACCATCTAGAGTAAAAATCTGGTTACAGGATAATTAGGGGACAGAAAAACCACCACTATGAAACTTGCCGACCACCTCGTGCCTGATCAGCAGTGTGGCACACTGGACAACAGGAAGTCTGACGGTCCACAGTCACAGGTAGGGCTGGGACCCCTCCTGCTGTCAGGGGTTCTTTCCTCTTGCTTCAACAAACCCACACTTGCTGGCTCTCAGTTTGGCCTGGCGGCTGTTGTTCTTCAACGGTGTGTACACCTGGACCCACGAGCATCCACTGTCCTAACATTTCTATATTCTATAAACATAAATGTTAGAATTTCATTTATGGTAAGTATCTGCCACAGCTCTTTATGAAAACAGCCTGATTTAATTGTTTTGAAGTTGAAATAACAATGTCTACTTTTTTTTAAGATTTATTTATTCATACAGAACTGGGGTACAGGCTAGTGGTGCAGGGGTGGTGAGAGGCTTCACCAGAGACAGAGTGGGAAGCAGAACAGGCAGATTGAGAAAGTACACTGCTGAAGGGGACAGCAGGTGAGACAGGAGAGGTCTGCCGTACCATGTAGATCACCTCCAGAGCCAGGGATTGAACTCACACTGAAGCGGCTGTGGCTCACTTGCAGTTCTGTGTCCCAACCCATTGCACCACCAGGGAGGGCCAGCAATGTCTACTTATATGAAACTAAAATCAATGGTCTCAAAGGAGAGGTAAAATTCAGGGGTCAGAGGAATGGGCCATTTTTAAAAGTGTGTACTATGGGAATGGGAGGAAATTTAAACTTACAGAAAAGTTGGAAGACTAGAAAAGTATTGCTAGTCTTATGGCCCAAATTTACATAGTTTTAGCATTTTGTTCCATTTCCTCTGTTTGCCTAAATACTTAAGGGCAAGTTGTATACATTCACTGTCTCTTAATCCTAAATATTTCTCTGAGTATTTCCTAAGAAAAGGGATAATCCACTTCCTATACCAAATATAATTACCAACTTTAGTAAATTGGATGAAGAACTATAAAAAGGCTGAAGTGAATGAATCAAACATAAATAAGTTGATGGAAAAGGAACAGCTGTAGATGGGTAGAAGGTTAAACAAAGAGGAATAGATTTGTGAACAAATCAATGGTGAAATGAAAGCTACAAAGACAGAAAAGCTTCAAAAGGAAAAAAGATAGAGGAGGGAGAGGCAGGAGAAAAGGCAGATGGAAACACTTTGGAAAGACGGGTGAATGAATGAATAGCAAAATGCATGTTGGATGGATGGACGACCAGATGAAGAGTTCATAGCCCTTCAAGATAAGCAGGTCCATTCTCGCTTATCTATTTCTCCAGTGGCAATAAAGAGAAGCATAAGGCGGTCAGAGGCTTGATACATCTTTTGTGAAGGAATGAATGAAGGGTTTAGGCCTTGGGTTAATGTGGGAAAAGTTTTGAAGTGAGAGCGAGTCAGAAGACGGGATTTCTAGCTCTCTCTGTATCTTCCAGTTAGTTATATGCATATGCAACTTTGTGAGCAACTTAACCACACATTTTCAATTTACACTTGTACAAAATGGGTAAAGTAGATTAAGTGATTTCCTAGGTTTATCCAAACACTCTCATGCTCCCTGATTTGAAGCTGCTCAAATCTAAAGACTATTGAGGGGAGGGGGGCCACACTGAGCAAATGTCTGTTTACTTACAACATGTCCTAATGCAGAACTGATCCCACATCTCTGCCAGCAACCAGGGAGAAAAGTTAACACACTCCAGATGAGATCCTGCTCAGACTGTCTGGCTCAAAGCTTCCTGGTGGGAATGAAAGACAGGCTGACAGTAGAGCCTGAGGGGTAATTAAGAGTGAAACATGAACCTCTGTGAGGCTGCACCCACCCCAAATTGAAAGGAAAGCAGGGCCAGGCACACAAAGCCTTGCAGGGCCCTTGGCTGCTGGCCAAATGCACACTTTGTGTCCAGAAGGTGGCTGCGTATTCACAGGGCACCGGTCTGTGCCCACAGAGCCCCCACCAGACTCCCAGCATGCTCTACAGTCAGTCATCGCTGTCCCGAGAACACAGCTCTCCTGAGTTACAGGCACTGTTCCAGGTACTGTCTGTGTATCACCTGGTCACTTGTCCCATCAGACCTCCTGGGAGGCAGCAGTGATGATCTTCACGCAACAGGAGGAAAAGGTAGCAAGTGGCAGGCTGGGGATCTGCACCCTGAGGATTTAGGCTGGCTGGGGACAGTGGGCCTGGAACTGCTCAGGTGACAGCTGGAACTTGAGACTTCATGCCACACCCATTCTGCAGTGACCAGGGCTGGTGCTTTCACACAGCTTGGAGGCTGCGGTGCTGGGCCAGCACTCCATTCCGTGCACAAGCACACTGAGCTGGGGTTCTGGTGAAGTGGCCCAGTGATGGTGACATGACTTGTACGTAGCTCAACTGGGATTCCACCGCTGGGAACCGGAGTCCCAAGCCAGGGCTCCTAATTGGTAGCGAGCAGTGGCGGGCCCACGTGCAGTTATAGGGATACTTGCAGGTTTTGCCTAAATATGAATTCCTCCCTCCAGTGACAGCATCTTGAGTTTTCTTGGGACAATCACCCCCCACATCCTACCCACCTACCACTTGAATTCATGTGATTTGGGTGAAATTTCTAAGCCCTGGGAGCAAAGTAAGAATGCAAGTTGGAACAGTCCCCATGTTTTGAACTGGCAGAAGAGCAACGGTGGTCTGTCCCAGGCTCTGCTCAGCTTC